GAAATTTAAGTATAAATACCCGGGTTTTTGTGGGCAAAAGGATTAACTTTTTCTTCTTCACCGAGTCAAGTTAACAAAAGTACGCAAATATCCATGTTACCATTACGGTGACTCCTTTTTCTTTATATTCTTCAAATATAATTAAAAAGAGATATCGCTACCATTACGGTGGCCGCGTCTTTGTTATATTTTGACAACGGAAATAAAAGATATCGACGGAGCAGAGAAATTAGTTTCTATAAACGACGGCTTCTGCATAGATATCCAGTTATCCTTAGGATGACCACCTTTTTCTTATATTCTAGATATAAGTAAAAGGAGATATATAGTCAGTTTTGACCAAAGCAGATACACGTTGAGTAGATACAGATTTCGCTCCTAGAACTGTTTTGTAAAGTTGTATCTACCGAGCGACTAAGATATTGGCGTAACTGATACTAGCGATACCACGCTAGTCTAGTTAAACGCCAGATATTTTATATCTCCGATTCAACATTATAAAATGTTACTAAATGATTAAAAGTGCTACTCTAGGCGTCGTTCGTATTGGATTGTGTCACCCTTCTGGCTGACCGACGAACTTACGTCCGGTAGACCTTTTGTCAGCGGTATACTTTTCTTTCTGTAAGGTTTCTTTTTCGTAGAATTAAAACGATAATCGCACTATTAAAGTAATCAAACTAGTAATTAATATTCAGATATTCCGGGGGAGAATTTAGACAAACATTAATAGGTTACAGGTATCACTTTATTACTTTTATATTCATTAGCGGGAAAATTCGCGTCTGGGTGTTATTGTCATATTTTTGGTATTCATTGGTAAACGTTTATTGTGGGAAAAAATTATAGGGTTTTTATATTGTGCTAAATTATGTTATTTAGAGAATCGATAGTGATGTTGTCATAAATATTAATTGTGCTAAAGTCGGTCAATGCTCTCAAGCAATAAATTAAGTCATTTAGATTTATGGCCAAAGAGCCGAATTGTAAAGTTTCGGTTGTCTGTAAGCAGTACCTGCCCCTTTCCGTAAAGATAAAAAGCACTTTCGATTTTACTTTTAAATGGCAAACAGATGTAGAGTAGTAGGGTAAACGCCTTGATTTGTATATATTTTACAGTTAGTTTGCGGTTTAAAAAATATGTTTTCTGTCGTTCTTTGTAAAACAAAATTGGGTAGACAAATGTGTCATTTTAGCCGTACGGAATTCTAGTTTTGTGTATCGAATTTTCGGGAAAAAGGAGATATGTACAGCGGCGGGTAGAATCATGAATATTGAGGAGGGTCGTATTTATTTGTACATATCCACATATCTTTAGCAGGACATTACGCGGAAGTAGTCGGTATGTTTGTTATTTATTTAGAATAAATAGGTGAAATTGTGTTTGTGGACTAGCTAACGTATCCTCAGAACTGTGATTAATAACACTGATTTGTCAATCGACAGAGCAAAAGAGCATCGTGCCAAAAAAGACGCCTTAGGCCACCATAGACCGCCAGGGACCTCAATAGTCAGGGCCTAAAAATGGTATTTCCCTTGCGGCTATGTAAATTAAAGCCTGATAGAGGCACAGATGGATCTCTACTGAGATACCCCAAAAGTGGGCCTGACGGGCATCCCCCTTTATATCAGGTGTTCTCCGATCGACCGATAAGTGTTGTTCATACAGGACTGAGTATGTCAGTAAATTAGGACGTTGGAATATTAGAGAAAGGCGTGGCGCACGGTGAGGTAAATCTACACTCCGGTTTTTACACATCTTAGAAATATTAAATTTAACCGACTTCAAAAAGGAAGAGGTTCTCAATTCGACGCAATATTTTATATCCCACAACACTCCTCGTGCTACTGCTGTACTCTCTTTTATTAGACAATGCGTAATTCAGTAGTTCCGTGGAAACGTGTGATTGTATATTAGGGAATAAACAAATATACCAAAGTACTTCCGACTTTTATTTTACCCTTTTATGAGAACTAAAAGCTCTGAGGTTAAAAATGACACATTAGAAAGCCTACATAAACAGAATGTTAAGCCTAAAAATGGCACATAATCTAAATGTTCGGCTGTACAAAAGAATAGATGTTAAATAAACAGTATTCAAAATTAATCTCGGTGTTTCCTTTGTTCTTCCTCCATTACAGCTACATTGAACTCTCAACGAAATTCTGGGGGTTTTAACATCACTTCGTGGGTATCTACTAGACGAAATTTAGGCCAAGGTTATAAGTATTTGCAAAAATAGGTCAGGGTCCGGTTTGTCAAGTTACAACAGTGAGTTAAGGATATGTGAACCAAGACATATCAACGTTGAAATAAAACACCTAACAACAGTATTACACTGACCGAATTGGCAAAATCCTGAAGAAAAAGAAAATCGGCACTGTCTACAAGCCAACAAATAAATATAGGGGAATATCTTAAAACAGCAAAAGACCGCAGAAACCCCCTCACATCAGCAGGAGTCCATGCACTTGTGGAAAAGTATACATAGGACAAACAAAGAGACGCATTGGTACACGACTAACGAGAACACAAACGAAGGTATAGTTTAGGAAAAACCGAAAAGTCTGCAATCACTGAACACATTCGACGGAGAACATAAGAGTCTTTTCGAAAACACCGACCAACTAGCAACATCAAGACATTACTCGACCAGACTACACTTGGAGAATATAGAAATACACAAACATGAAAAGAATTTCAATAAAAAGGAAGAAAAACATTACCGTCAAAAAAGAGCGCGTAGACACTCATATAAATACCAGAAAGCAAAGGAAGATTCAATTTCAGTTGATACGTGGAGAAGAGTACTTCATCCACGCCACAAGATGGTTACCGCAGTTGTAGCTGAAGCGTTTGGTAGTAGTAGTCAAGAAAGACCACGACATTACAGCCCGGCAACAAACAATTACATTAAAACAAATTGTCCTAAATTTGACTTAAGCCCTAATTCACTTAATGATTTTTGATATACTGCAGATAATATAAAGTCACTTCCTGCTATTTCTATTTCTTAAGATTTACTGAATTTCAGAAACTTTCCAATGCCGTGTAGTTCCTTCTTCCTGTCTCCTGTCCGCGAAGAGGAAATTTTATACACAATTCGATCATTAAAAAATGCTAACTGTTTAGATACAAATAATCTCAATAATTTGATTACTAGAAAAACTTCTGATATGATTGTTAAACCTCTAACTATCCCTATTAACTTGATGTTTAGTATTGGGGTTTTCTTCCTCTGTATAAAAAAGGGGATACTTCTCAGCCAGATAATTACCTTCCTATTTCAATTATCTTTAGTAAACTAATAGAAAAAGTCATTAATGATCGTTTATATGAGTATTTTAATAAATACAATTTTTTTTGGTAAATCTCAGTTTGGATTCCGACACAAGCAGTATTGAGTATTGTGGGAGATGTAGTTGAGTGCCTTGAAGCAGGTAGGTAATCATACAGCTATCAGCCTGTGTGACCTTTCAAAGGCATCACAATATTTTATTGGAAAACCTCTATTACTATGGTGTAATAGGAACAACGTTAGCACTTATCTAGTGTTATCTCACAAACAGACTTCAGGCTATTTATTGTAATATTACTTATTCTGACTTCAAACCAGTTAAACACGTCACTAATTTTGTTGGTGTTAACAGGGAACTCAATGAATTTTACACCTTTTTATTAAAATATTCTAAAACTATTTGTAGCCCAGTATCAAACTTAAACATTCAATTTCATTTTATTCTGGCAAATTTTGGGGGATTATGGGAAGCCTATAGGTACAAATAGAATCTGTATTAAACTCCCGTCCCCTATCTTCACTCTGTTCTGAACCTTCAGCCCTCTCCGCTCTAATGCCAGCTCATTTTTTAATTGAAAGATCACTCAACGTTATCTCGGAGATTGACCTGAAGAGGAGAAGAGGATTCCTGATAATCGACCAAGTTTTTATCAGCACATAAAGAAAATGCAGCAACATTTTTGGGAAACATGTATTAAGGAGTATATCAGTCAATTACAAATTCGCTCCAAATGGAAAACTAAGAATAACCGAGCCTTGCAAGTAGAACAACTTGTAGTAATAAAAGAAGACAATTGTTGGGAATCTTAGGAATCATATCGTTGCCCTAGTTTCAAATAATCCGAATCACTATGGTTTCATAGATTTTTGTAATTTTGTCAATTTTGAAAGATTTGAATAAAAACGATTTTTTCTGAAATAATATTTTTTACGTTCTTCATCTTCATTTATTATCAACAACAATATTCCTGTATTACAGTGGTGTCTTGGTCGTGTTACGGAATTAAAATTTGGAACCGATGGTATCTCTAGAATTGTCATTATCAAGACTGAGCCATTTCTAGAGTATGTAAACTGCCTGTATTTTCAGTTGAAAGTTAAGACTTTCAAAGACTGTCTTATATTTTATGTCATGTTAATCACAATTATTCGTACAATCAGTCATTTTACATTTTTTTGATACTTAAATATTAAATAAACGTTTCTTATTGAGAAAAACCTTCTTTCAAATAACCAGCACCATTCACATGCAACCATATTTCCTTTTAAGTTCTCAGGAAATGCTAATTTTATTAATGTAACACTGAACCTAATAAATAGAATAGAATTTATTCGTTTATTCCTTTACATGTATATGCTTAAAAAACTTATTAGACTAGTAAAAAGTTTTCATACATTCAGCTTTCACACTGTATATGTACCACCATACACATCCACACAAAAACACATTCATATTATCCAGTTCTCACCAGTTTAAAATTATAGATTTTTTTCTTGATATTATCCCTAAATAAGCTACTTACCTAATATACTACTAAGTAAAAAGAACATTCAATGGCGTCTATATTAAAAACTCAAAGGGCAGTAATCTCAATAATTAAGATGTCTTTCTTATCATATAACCCAAATCAATATGCCACATGTGTTTGATTTTTATTTTAAATTGTTTTCAATCTGAGCTAATGAATTAATAGATCTTACCTGTAGGCATAGTTTGTTGCTTGAACTATAACAGGTTGTGATGAAAATCCGCCTGGAGACAATGATCTTTCCTCAATGTTGTATTTTTCTAAAAATAAATAAATGTATTACATTGTAGTCAAAATCTAGTATGAAATCTAATAAATATCAAAAAGTAATTTCCAACTAATTATTTGAAAATTCGGAAATAAATTTCAAAAATCCCCCTACGAATTATTAAGACCATCATCCGCGAACCCCAAAGGTGAAAATAAATACTTGGATATTTGAAAAAAGCCTGCCATGGCCAGGGATCAAACCCAGACATCCTTGTTTGCTAAACAAGTATCCCTTCCACTAGACCAACCACGACAGTGCCTTCTACCTTTGCATTGATTGTTTTTTATCCATATGAACAATTATTTTTCAAACGAATTTTGGCTATAGTGCAAAATTTGACTAAAATCAGTAATTTAAATACTGACATAATTGTAAAAAAAAAAAAATTAAAATTATAGTTCTTTCTCAACTAACCATTACATTCTTGAAAGAATTTTTATTTCATAATTGGTAGATCATCAAAGAAAACCAAATTTAAATTTATGTTTATAGTTTCATGAAACCATTAAAATTCAATTTGTTTTGTCCTAACTATTTAAACCTATTGTTTGGTAAATAACTTGAAAGCTTCTGTTTTGCCCACTCAAGTTTTTGATGTATTACAATGAGTGGGCAAAAATAGTAGGTGAAAAATTATGTCCACTCAACACTAGTGTAATAAAAATAAAAGTAAACAGGAAGTAAAGGCTACTAGCTCACAAAAGATAAATTCGTTAGAAATATTAAATTAATACCCATTTCAAAGTTAAATATTTCATAAATTATTTATACGAAATTGTAGTTCATAATAATTGAAAGCAAACAGGGTTATCTATAGTCACCATGACATATGAAAATACATAATTATTCATTTTTTTAATCTCTTTTTGTATCAAAAGCATCAACAGTTATGGTTATTAGTCTTGTGTTCTGTGTAGGTTTTGAAACTGTTTCCCACTGCCACTTTAGGAACAGCACTGTTAATTAGAACCCCCAACAGTGAATGGTCAAGTGGGAAATCCTACAAATTGTAAGCGATCCCGATGTTTATTAAAACATAACGATAAGAACATTGGGAATTGGACCGCCTCGCCTGCGACGCGGGGACATTCATCAATAATCGTTTCCAAATAACTACCAGTACTGTATTGCGTTTTTTATTATTATAGTTTTGTTAATTGAATTTCATACGGGGTGTTTCATTTATTTTATATTCCTCACACAATGCATTAGAATTAATATTTAATTTATTAAATAAAAAACCAGTTACCGGCGGGATTCGAACCTAGGGCCCTGACTCTAACCACTGAGTCACCCACCCCCCCTACATACACATAATTATTATAAAATTTAATATATGTTTAAAAGCAGGATCAAACAAAGATAACGGAAAATAACCAAACTTATTCCATAATTTTATTGTCAGGCAGAATATTAAACTTTTGCAAATGGTTTTTTAAAGACTTATTTTCACTACACTTATATCTCGGTTTTCTTGGTTTTGACAGTTTTGAGGTTTCCAAAAATATTGTACTTATCATCTTGGTGAAATGGGTTCGAAAAACAAATGTTAGAATTTTCAGATTAGTTCGAAAATCAAAAGTTCGATTTGAAAATTTTTCCAAAGTACAAAAGTTCGAAACTACAAAGTTCGAAAGTGAGAGAAGGTCGAAACCAAAAAAGATCGAAATTAGATCAAATGACCGAAATCGCTTTCGATCAAAATTACAAATGATCTAAATCACGTTTGAAAGTACTAATAATAAATGATATATGAATGAAATGGTATGTATAAGATGGAAAGAATTATATTATATTGGTAAATCCATTTTTAATTTTTCGTATTTTATGTATAACTTTTTTGGGAGGCAACCTGAGATGGCTCTAGGCAAGACAGCTTAGGTAAATGAGACTAGCAAAATATTTCTTCTTTCTTTAATATATTTTGCATGTAGACTCGACCATCTAAGTTTGGGTGTGGGATTAGAGCATCCCCACTGTGATAATATTATCAAGTATTATACCGCCTCAGTTGATATCCGTTTCATTTGTTTAGTGCCAAGATTGTTATTTTTGACACTGCAAAGAAAATTTGTATTTCGTGCAAAAATTCATTTATTAAAAAATCCAAAGCGCTTTTGATATGAAGCGAAAATTCTAAAACATCGTTAAAACATAAAAGTCAGAAAACATTTGTCGTTTCTTCTTTTTTAAACTATATGTTGCCTTTAATGGTTAGAAATTCAGACGAATGTTAATTTAATTTCGTTTTGTGCAATACACTTTTCCATTTTTGAAAAGTGTGTTTGGACTAGTCAACTTTTCAGACTAGTCCGTGGACTTTTCCAAGCGACCCATCACTAATAAATAAAATAGATATGAAACAAAAGGACTTGAATATTACAAAATTTTGTTTAAATCTTATAAAAATTACTTTTGCAATTAACAAAGTTACAATTTAACAAAATTATGATGTTGAAGAAACTTCTAACATATATTTAAATATAAAACATATAATTTAATACTCCACTGGCACTTATAGAGATTTCTCGAAAGCATTACATCTTTTTCGGTACAAGCTACAAATTGTTACTAAACGCTGTCACGTGAGCAATACCTCGCGGATGGTTGGTTGATTCTATCTACGCAGCTAGCTGCCTGGCATGGCGTCGTTCACCAGAATCTTTTTCTTACTACAACAAGCAACTTCGTTGAACGACTTGAATCAACGGCGTGCCCACGCCATGTTGAAAATTTTGTATTTTTACTTCTAACGTTATATACAGTCTGTGATGCATTTTCTTCAATTGATTTTATTTTAGTAAGCATATAAAAAAGGGTAATATGTGCAGTAATGTCAAAATTTTTACACGATCTTCAAAATTTAATGCGTTTGTTATGTGAAGCAGCAATTTCATTCTGTACATACCTAAAGAAAGACCATAGCTAATTCATAAATTCACCAGTCGAAGGTATTTTTAAATATGTGGGAGAATAAATCTTCAAACTCCCTTATAGAGAATTGCAATAAAAACAAAAATGGCAACATTGATTGAGGCAACAGCCCTTCAGATTCTTAGAGAACCTCAAAAGCCAAGTTTGTGTGAGATAAGGAACATTTTTAAGTTTAAAAATACATAGAGCAACTCTGTATATTGTTGCTATGTGTTATACCCACATACATTGATTTTCTTTTACTATACGGAGAATGGTCGCACTGCGCAGCTTTCTGAGTGCCTTTTAAAAGGAGATACTAAACTCCGCCATTTTGACCCCTTATTACGTGTTGCCTACATCTTGGCGCAATATTTTTAATAAGTGCGTTTTAATCATCCGCTTCTGCTTCGGAATTGTCGGTTTTCTTGTTTTAATCTGACAGGTTAAAACGACTAAACCGACAATTCCGGAAGCAGAAGCGAATGATTAAAACGTACCTGATATTTTGCTTGCTGCTGTCTGTGTCAGTCACATACTTTGATTACTATACGAGGCAAGAGAGAGGTCCGACACACCCAACATAGGGCGCGGCCATTTTGAACCCTGTGACACAGTTTACAGCTAAAGAATCAGATCGCTCACTCTGCGTCGGCACTTTTGATCTCAATGTTTCAGTTTATACACTGTGCAACTCGGATAATACAATATATGACAACCGCCTATAATAAAACAGCAGTCTTCTGCGTATCCTGAATTTGTATCCCTGGAGTGGATGTTATTTTGGAACTTTCAACTGGTCCGAGTGAGCTAACTGATTCTTTAGCAATAAACTGTGACTTCAAAAATAATATTCACTGACACTGACAGCAGCAAGCAAAATATCAGGTGCGTTTTAATCATCCACTTCTACTTCCGGAATTGTCGGTTTAGTCGTTTTAACCTGTCAGATTAAAACAAGAAAACCGACAATTCCGAAGCAGAAGCGGATGATTAAAACGCACCTATTAAAAATATTGCGCCAAGATGTAGGCAACACGTAATAAGGGTTCAAAATGGCGGAGTTTTCTATCTCCTTTTAAAAGGCACTCAGAAAGCTGCGCAGTGCGACCATTCTCCGTATAGTAAAAGAAAATCAAAGTATGTGGTGTCAGTGAATATTATTTTTGAAGTCACAGTTTATTGCTAAAGAATCAGTTAGCTCACTCGGACCAGTTGAAAGTTCCAAAATAACATCCACTCCAGGGATACAAATTCAGGATACGCAGAAGACTGCTGTTTTATTATAGGCGGTTGTCATATATTGTATTATCTGAGTTGCACAGTGTATAAACTGAAACATTGAGATCAAAAGTGCCGACGCAGAGTGAGCGATCTGATTCTTTAGCTGTAAACTGTGTCACAGGGTTCAAAATGGCCGCGCCCTATGTTGGGCCTGTCGGACCTCTCTCTTGCCTCGTATAGTAATCAAAGTATGTGGTTATAACTATTGAAAATAGAATAAGTGCAGGTTGTTTGGACCAAACATGTCTTAATCAAAATGTACAAGGTGTTAAAGTTGAAATATTTTTTTTGTTTTTGCTAATAATTTCACTTTCACTTATTCATAAATCATTATCAAAATTGGCACAGAGGCATAACTTTGGCAAGTAATATTATTAAACTTACTATTTTACATTTTTAAAAAGGCTGTGCCACATGAGCGAATCCTGATAATGAAATTGGGCCAATTTTTCTGATGAAAGGTTTTAATAATTTTGATTATAAATTATCTCAGAAATTATGATATAAATATCATTTTTATGTAAAATTATTATACTTGCTTAAACTTAATAATTTCAACCGTTTTCGAGAATAACGCAATTGAAACAATTAATATGTCTCCGAAATTGCTTTCACTCAGGACAATAAACAAAATAACTTAATAAAAATAAAAAAACTCAAATGTTCTACATAGCATCCTCCCACTTCTACATCTTTTCCAATTTGTTTTGATGAAAGACTTTTGTCATAAAAAAAAATATTGTAGTTTTTCCAGAGTTCATTTTATAAAGTAATTTCATTTCGTTCAAAATTAGAAAAACAGTGGGTTGTGATTAATTTCACAAATCCCTTTCCAAGCTTCTGAAATGTTCAATTGCGTTTTTCTCGAAAACTGTTGAAATTATCAATTTTAAACAGGTATATAAATTTAATTTAAAGATATTTATACGAGGGCTATGCTCTTTCTGCTGAGCCTATCTAGAAGGCAATGATATTTTTACATTTTGTCCGACACTTCATTCTAGTTGTTTACGTAGTTAGTGACAGTTGTCAAATATACCTGATTGTAGTTACATAAGTTTAAAGAAATCCTTTCGCCAAAACGTGATGGAAATGAACAAGAAGCATTATCAAGTTGTGATTATTTACAATTTCAAGGGTGGTTTTGAGGAACAAATCGTATTCCTTCACTACCGTAAAGCAGTCGTACAATGAATTTCAATGTGGTTGACTTTTCTTAAAAGACAGTTTTCTAGTTTTTTAGTCAAAAACGGCAGTTGCAGAAAATATTAAGCAGAAATATTAAGCAACTTTAGCTTTAGGCTTTAGGTGTAAAAGCAATTAATACTATTTAACAAAAACATTTGAAAGTCCGTAAGCTTTGTTCTCGCTGGATTCCTCACAACTTGACTTTTAGTACAAAACGAAAAAATATTGTAACTTTTTCAACAGCAACATTTTATTAAGGCAATCCTTACAGTTTTATCCAAATAACTTACTTTATGTCCCAATAGTTGTGACTCGTCCTGTAGAGTGATCATATTGTTACCCTATACCCTGCAGTAGCCTGCTGCTGTTATAGAAAACGTACGAATAAAAGAAGAGAGAACAGTCTAAAAATGTCATTCAGAATCAAGAAATATTTGGAAGATTCGAGAAGGTTCAAGGGAGCTATATAAGTCGATGATCTTGACGATACAGTTCAGTTTTATGAGAGACGTTGTATGTTAATGTTAATAGTTGTATAATTAAATTGTAAAAGTTGTGTTGTAACTAAATTGAGTTACCAAAAACCAGAGTAACAATACATTATGTAATAAAAAATAGCCACATACAGTGACGGCTCATGGGGTGGTCCATAGTGACAGAATATAGGTATCAGTACAGATGTATGAAAAAACTTTCAGTGTTTTAGAAAGTTTATAATATACCTTTCTAAAACACTGACAGTTTTTTACCTATATCTGTACCTGGATCTATATTCTGCTACTGTGAACCCCCAAAATTTTGATCACAAGCCGCCCCTGGTCACATATCTTACCTTCTCTGTATTCCTGTCCGTTGGAGTTACCATCTACAACATTTTCGGGGTGAGGCAACAACAATCTAGCCTTTGTGGCTCCTACGAGTGCCGACATTTGTTGATGGCCTATCATACCTCCAGAGCCGGCGTAAGCAGCTACGGGGTTTCCGGGACTACCCGGTGCCGACTGGCTGATATCGACGAGGTGCTCCATTGTGGGTGAACCTTCTCTCGAAAGGCATTCCGGCGTCATTATGTCTGACATGCTGACGTGCGAGGGAGAGGCCGGGGCACTTCTGAAAAATTTTAAGATTGTTTAAATAAAACAATAAAATAACTTTAAATATGAGAATATGGATAAAACGGCACATGCTTCTTGTATTGCCAGCATTCTGCACTTGCCTATAATTCACATGACAGTCCGATTTTAAACAAAGCTGTTTCAGTTCAACGTTGATTGTGTGAAAATTGGACACAGCAATGCGTGGGGAAACTTGGTTACCTATTTGGGTATATCCAAAACTAAAGTTTATAAATAGTTCGCAGAATTCAAGCATGAAAGACCGTTTTATAACGATATTGGCCAAGGTTGTCCATGCGCCTCTATTGTCGCAAAAAAATATCAATTCTGTGCATGAAACGATTTTAGCAGATCAACTTGTGAGTATACTGAGATAGAGACATCCTTAGGTTTTGCGGCGAAACTATGGAGTTACTGTACCAGAATGGCGTTGAAAAGCGCCGCAAGTTGTGATAGTCGATAATTCAGTTCACACAATCACGCCCCAATGATGTCTATAGTTATATAGATTGCTCAATCATATGTAAATAAAAGGAATAAAAACTATAAACTAAAAACTACACCGTGAAAAGCCAAATTTATTGTAATATAATATAAACATTATTATATTAAAATGGGGAAAACGTGTGCAATCAAAAGCTGTTCAAGAGGTCGCAAAGTGCCGCAGCCGTTATCGTTTTTGGAAACCTCGGTATATATAAAATAATTTTTATTATTTGTATTAAATTTAGAAGAATAATGTTAATTTTTCTTTGCAATCTGTTTTCATAATTAGTCCAATCATCTTTAAGTCGTCTCGAAGCGCCACGGCAAGTAATAATAGTAATTATAATAAATTCCGTCCCTTCCCTTCCTCTACACAAGTCGCTCAGTCAGCTGCAGGGGTTGAAATTCACTTGTACAGTTCATCAAATTTCTAGAGGTGTTACGCGCTACGTGTGACTAAGATAGCTATTGTACAGTCTGCTAAACAAGTTATTTTAAATAGTTTTTAATATTTTTAGGTAATTAAATTTTAAAAGTGTGGAATAGTTTAGGGATTAAATTGGTCTGATTGGACTTTCTTAGAACGTTTTTAAAAGCAGCTAAAGATAGTATGTAGAATTGAAAATAATTATTATGCCATAAAAGGTGTTTTGGAATTCCTTTAACCTTTTGAAATTGAGTCAGAAAATATAAATTTTATAGGATAGCGGAAAATACCAATAATTTTTTTGTAGGCCTTTGTAAATCGTGGAAATAGTTTATATTTTATTTCTACCTTATTAAGGAAAATGGTACCTATTATTAATAACGGTTGTTTCTGAAACATTACTAAAATTTTCGAAATTTTGTTTTTCTACAAAATAACAAACTATACTATTTAGAAAAAAATTTATTTCTCTTATAATTTTATAAAAAATAACAGGGGAATATTTACATTTCTTGATCTATTAAACAAAACGATAAATTATCTCGACGAATGACACCATGTTCTAGTACGGAAGCTAGCTTTACATTTTTGTTGGTGGTTTCATGGGTTTCATATCAATTTTTTGTAATTGTAGTTTACACGTACATATACCTCTTAACACTTGTTTACTTTATTAAAAAAGTGTGTTGTTGTGATTTACGTCGAAATAAGTCAAAAACAACTTGAAACCCCATATAAAATCAAAAAGGAGAAACGGAAAAAAAATTGAGACTGTAAATGAACACAACTCAGAAACAAAAATAGCTATCTAATAATAAAAAAATAAAATTTGATTCTTATCTATATCATTAACTGTTTTTGGTTTTTTAATGGTTTTTCTTGGTGATGAAAATTCCGATATCTCACGGTTATCGATTCTGTTTTTCTCTTCAGAAATGCGGACGACAGTGTTTTTAGATACTCCTGTGGCTGCAGCAACACGATCATTTACATTTTTAAATGGTATTGAAGGTGAATTAAAGTTTCCTTCTCTTCTCAAAAACTCTATAACATTGGCTATTATTTCGCGAGATTGACTGTTAATCACGCGGCCTCTTAATTTGCTATTAAACTCCATACTTAGGTTCTATTAAACTGTAATGAGCAAAAAACACAAACGAAAATAAAAGAAATGTTTTAGCGAAATTTACATCTGACATTTACGTCTGAATGAAATAGTGAAATACTTGATGCGCAGAGTGTACTTTCATTGCGTAAATCCGTCGGGATGCCTGTCAGTAGTGCTTTCTCTGTCTAGCCGTCGAAAGCCTCTAGAAATTTGATGAACTGTAAAGGGGTGAATTGGGGAGAGTATTATTAGTATCTATCTTTTTACTTCCCTCTATAAAAGGGAAATATTGTAATGGTGAAAAGTCACCTTCAGACATTACTTCAAATTTTCACGTTTCAGGGTCCCTAGATTACGAAAAACATGTTTCGCCATTCCCTCGGTCTGTCTGTTGGCGCGATAGCTCAAACACGGCTTTATAGAAAAACTTCAAAATTATTTTTAAAAGTCGGCAGATTTCGAATAAAATTGTGAATAAAGTCAAAGATCCTAAATACGTTTTTAAAAATTCAAAATGGCGCTGAAAGGAATCGTATTTAATCAAAAAAGGTCCCACTTGAATAGAAATGATAAAAATCGTCCTTTTGGGGTATGTAACTGGACCATTTTAAAAGCAGCCAATCATTATTGTTCAATAAAGGTGATCGTGACGAAGAATATCGAGTGGATGCGAAATGAGAATTCGGGTAGGATCAAGAGGAAGATCGATGGAGACAGAAATGTGAAAAAGGGTTTTCGGTTTGGTGGTTTTAATTTTAAATTATTAAAATTTAAGTGCTTAGGAGTTCCTTGCTTTTACAATTTCTATATCGAGGGAAGTTCGGGGTAAAATACTTCTGATACGTCTGATTTACATATGGATGAGATTTCTATATAACTATATATCTTTGGATCTTACTCTTCTAGTACACGAGCGCCATTCTGGTCACTTTCTGAAACCTTATTTACTGCTTTTGGGTAGACACTTTTTGAGATAAACAACAATATAAGATTGTCCTCCTTTCCTCTACACTCCATAGCACGAACACTTGCTTGTCAACAAATTGGGAGCATTTCTAGAGCGAATTTAGTGATAGAGAAAACCTTAACATTCAATTGCAAACAATAAAACAACCAGAAACAAAAGTAGGAAAATTTGGAACTGGAAATACCTATCCAGAAGAAATTTGCGACTTAATTGCAGAAAAAACAAAAGCCAGGAAAAGAAGGCCGCAAACCAGCAGTCCCGAAAATAAGAGTATATACAATAGACTCTTAACCATTGAGAGAGATACGAGAACTAAAAAATGTATCTTTTAACTCGTAACTCCGTGAACAAATCAACTACAAAGATAATGACTACGCGCTTTGGAAAGAAAGAAAGAAATTGAAGAGACCAATCACCATAATTCCTGATCTGGAGAAGGAGCATGGGCTAAAGACAGCAAACAAAAAGCGGTACTTTTTTGTAGAACACCTGGAGCAAATCAACCAACCTAATGAATCAGATACAGAAAATGATCTAGAGGAAACATCAATAGAAAAGAAAGATGAGATAAAACTTGTTACCTCAAAAGAAACTGCTAGAAAAATAAAATCAAACAACCCAAAAAATGCTCCTGGATACAATCTCATTACAGGAGGAGTACTGAAAAAGCTCCCAAGAAAAGCCATTGTCAAACCTACAAATTTGATAAATACGTCTTTTATACTAAAGCATGTACCAATCGCGGTCACGTCTTGGATGACTGAACGCTGGACTTAGCCGACTAGTGGTTAACCATCGACGACGTGGAATAAATGATGAATGGGAAGGAGTAGTGCATCCAAATGTTGGCACAATAGGCCATCTGCATATAAGTGCCGCCATGCGAACTGCAAGGAGGGAAAGCAGACTGGGCCCCAAGCCTGATAGAGGGGAGCCAGTGGCTGGAGCCAAGTCTGATTGGAGGGAGTCTGCCGGAATCCCTCGGGGGAAGCAGAGGGATGCCTGAAAGGGTGAAAAAAACTGTCATGAAATGTAAATATACTTAGATTCACAGCCCTGCTCAATACTTAAGCCTTACGAACCAATGAAACAAAACACTGCATCCGGTAAAGTATACTTTTTTAAATAAAAACGATGGTTCTAAAGATAATAGGAAGGAGTATTGCAATTAATTGTAATAAGAAAAGTTGTTAAAAAGGCGTGGGAAATATTGGTACAGAAAAAGATACCGAGGTTGTCCTAAAAGATTGTAGAACAAATGTATAGCAAAAAAAAGAAAGTTAGAAATATGCAAAAAATATAGCTTTGCACAGAAACAGAAAAGAATATTCGAAGGTGAAAGTAGAGTTACAACACTGTACCAAAATTGAAAAAAACTCTATGTTCAACAACTTTTTCCTCAGTCAACAACATCAATAGATGATGATAAACCAATCATGAGTCGTGGCTTAAGTTGTTTAGTTTCGCTTTTAGACCATTGATTTGTTCAATACTCATTAAACAAGAAATATTTTGAAATAGTCCTTTTTTTTAATTGAATTTGTGACAAGTTTTTTTAATTTTACCTGGAACTTAAACCGAACGGTGCTCGGAAACACGAAACACCTCTTTGTCTTCTTCTTCTGAATGCCTGTTCGATTAATTTCGATTCAGACTGAGGATCAATTCTCCAAAATGAACCTTTTCCAGGTTCTTCTTGACTTCTGGGTACCTAAAAATTAAAAACATTTAATTCGTTTGTTGAATTACATTTTTTTGACAAATAATTTGTAATATATTATTTATTTCGTATTAATCTCATTTTCTAAATAAGAATAATGTAAATAGAATTAAAAAAAAAAATCAAACTGAAATGTAATATGGGCGATCAATCAATGGTTATGGTCTAAAAGACATGATAATCCATCAATAATCAAAGGATATATTAAAGAGTTGTAGCAATACAGAAATATACTGAACTGAAAGGTGAATGTAAGACCTATATTGATGACAGAATGACCTAGAGGAATATTTTTGTACTTGTTTAATAATTTTTGTTCACTTCTCTGTTACTATTTTATTATTTTACTTTTACCTTATCCACTGTGTCAGCAGGCCCTATTCGTATAAAGATGCAAAGGCTTATTAAATGTTATAAAGTAATTTTGGCTGCCGTAATAATATTATGGCTAATTATTTTTAGGCTTGTTTTTATCGTGTTTATCGGGTCGGTGGCGTAGCTGTCTAACACGTTCAGAGACAGAGCGGTTTCGAATCCTACACCAGACCATGTGGATTTTTAATTAAATTGTATGGGTACTATAGGATTTGATGTTTGCCGTATTAACAAACTTAATTTCTGTTCATGTGACATCTAGATTATAAATAGACATGCGTTACCGTCTCGATGATGGTGGGTGACGTTTTCCTCACTTATAAGTCAAATGGCGCCATCAATCATCTTTAAGTCGTCCCTGAGCGCCTTGGCAAATAATAATAATAGTCTTCCCCTTTCCCTACACAAGTCAAGCGACTCGGCTTCAGAGGTTGAAATTCACTCGTAAGGGGGTGAGTTAGGGACAGTATTATTATTATTATTATTATTATTAAAAAGTCTGCAAATCCTATTTATCTACTAACTATTAAAATTCCATATATATTTTTGAAATCTAATTAAAGCATTAGATGAAACATTCTGGCCAAACTGAACAAATTTAAATTGTAAATAGATTAATAAATAACATTAAATAAAATTATCATGCAAAAGATCTAGTCTCCAGTGTAGCCAGTATAAACCAAAATTTATATTTTTTAAAACAATTACAAAAAAAAAAATAATACATTCTAACTTAATTCTACAAACACTATAGCTTGTTAAGCTGAGTTCGACATGGTGTTCACTGTACTCAGAGTGCACTTTTGTGTTCGGCTTGCAATAGGTCATGTACTCAGAGCGCACTCTCTCTTCCCCGATTGGAGATCAACGGGTATCTATAGGAATGTGTCAAATATGTCAAATGTTAATATTCTGATCTATGATTAATCAGTTTTACATGTATTATTTTATGTTTTTTTTTTGTTATATTGATTTACTATTTGATTAAAATTATTTTTTTACAATCCAGACACACAAAGTGTATTCAAGTGCAAACTACACCACTAGTGTCATTTGTCTTGCCTTTTTTGTTCGTCACGTACTCCACGCGCGCTCCGTCAGATCTGTTGAGCTCCAAGCTGAACAAATCTTTATTGTGCTATATATTGACATATTTAGTTAATACTAGAGAAACGGTACATTGCTGCAATAACAACAGACCGAAAATAATAAAAATTATAACGTAAATAACTATTTAGGCATCCCAAAGCCCCAGTATGCCTAGTTCAGTTCTATTACTAAAATATTCTAATTTAATCCCCCACGTTCATTGATGATGTTTTGGAAATAATTCGTTTTTTCTCTTACCTTAATAAAATATCTGTTAAGACTAAGGTTATGTCTAATTGAGTTTTGCCAGCCTTTGTCAGCTGTACGATAATAAGGATAGTGTTTGGTTATATAACTATATATTCCAGATAACGTCAGCTGCTTGTCAGGTGCACTTGCTATTGCTTGTACTATAAGCTGCGCATATGAATATGGCGGCTTCGAATCATCTTTGTTACTGCCGCTTGCTCCATAGGCTCCATCGTTCAAAACGACAGGTGGTATCTGAAATTAAAAAGCCATATAAGTATCTTATTGACAATGTATTTTTTATTGAAAAATACTGAATTTATTCAAATCTATGTCCTCACTACATACGGGGTGATACCACAATTTAAAAACTTACAGTGGCTATATCTCACGAATTAAAGATATCAAAAATGCTCATAACCGTTTATATGAGGCCTGACATTTCAATCCAGTTGTTTTTAAGTTTAGTTAGTGACAGTTGTCAAATATACCTGGTTGTAAGTCGTGTTGTTTCGCTACCGTAAAGTGGTGGTACAATGAATTTCAATGTGGTCGACATTCCTTAAATGATAGTTTTCGAACTCTCAAGTCAAAAACGGCAGTTACAGAAAAAATATTGATCTTATTGGGAACATGATTAAAGAGAACCACCAGCAGATTACTGTCAGAAACATTCAAGCAACTTTAAAGATTGGTGTGAAAGCATTTAAGACTATTTTACACAAATATTTGAAACTCTGTAAGCTTTATTCTCTGTGGATTCTCCACAACTTGACTTTAGCTCAAAAAGAAGACCTTGTGATATGGTGCAGATCTGCACTAGATCGTTTTGACTAATTTGATGTACATCATCATCACAGGTGATAAAACATGGGTATATGTTATGATCCTTAAAAAGAAACAATCGTCAATTTGGTACTTTGAGAATGACTCGTCTCCAACAAAAATTGCTCGTGAAAAAAGCCAAAACAAATAGATGTTCGACACTTTTTTTGAATTTACTGGGCATGTTTCCACTGCAGCTCTGGATGATAGATGTACTGTAAATTCACAGTGGTATGCTACAATTTGTTTGTCTCAGGTTCTCCAAAGAGGTTCGCGAAAAATGTCCAAGAGGAAGGATCATCTTGCATCAAGATAACGCTCAGGCTCACACTGCTGCTTGAACAAATGAGTATTTTAATACCCAAAACATAGAAATAATGAGTTATAGTGTTTATATCATCTATACTTCATTATATCTGGATGGGTGTAACCGATCTATTTTTGTCTCCAACCTTTTAATTCCACTCTGTATATCTAATGTGCATAATTTCTAGGCCTTTCACAAAAATCTCTTTCTTGGATGTTGGCTAGCGTACGTCATGGCTTTTAATATCAAAGTACTTTAGTTATTTTCAAAATAATACCATGCAAATGCAGAGTTTTCAGTAGAGTATGTTCTTACTTCAGAATAAAATCTTGAGGCGGTATTTTAAAGAAGAGTTTCTAATAAAAACACAAGCCCAGTTGTTATTATTACGATGGAGAAGTTATTTACCTTTTTCGCTAATCTAATCATCCAACCTTTTATCTTGTATCAAACGAATTTTTTTAAGTCCATTGTAGGATTATAGGGGAATGGACTTTTCAGTGCCGTCGTTTTAGTGCCGGGATGTTTCAGTGCCGGACGTTTCAGTGCCAGACGTTACAGTGTCGGGACGTTTCGGTGCCAGTACGTTTCAGTGCCGAGACATTTCAGTGCCGAGACATTTCAGTGCCGGAACGTTTCATGGCCAGGGTATTGTCATTTATTATATTAATAAATTTGCTCAAGGTTTATATTTTATTTTAGTTATTATTTTAAGTCATTCTTATTAAAGTGTGTTTTATTTTTTACGGTTTTTTTATATTTTTTATTTTGATTTAATATTAAAATATGTAGGTACATAAGCAAGCTAATCTGAGATGTTAAGTTAAACAAAAACAATTGAAACTGACACATTTTAAAATCGTTGGATCCTCCATTCCCAGTTCCGATTTGAATCTTCCATGGGCAGCTTCTTATATCATATAATTTAAAAAATGTCATTTACTTAAAATTATTCTTATTTAATAAAAACAATCTTTGTGGCACTGAAACGTCTCGGCACTGAAACGTCCGGCACTGAAACATCCTGGAACTGAAAGGGCTCGGCATTGAAACAGCGGCACTGAATCGGCGGCACTGAAACAGCGGCACTGAATCGGCGGCAAAAAAAAGCCCTAGACCCGGATTATAGACCGTAAAATGTAAAATTGTTTCAAAGCTCCATATTTTATAAGATCATTACAGTCCTTACTTCTTTGTATCCCACCTACACCAAAGTAACTATAAATTGTTTTTTTTTTAATCAAATTAATAATAAACGGAGGATAATATGCCGTATTAGTGTGATGTTTTTTGATCCAAACAAAAACAATCATTCTCTCATTGATTTTAACATAACAGATTTTGATAAATTGTTTGAAGGTCGTAAAAAAGAAGTTTAAAAGTATGTACCTAACTAAGTAAATTATTTTTATTGTAGATATTTTAGATTAATATAATCTTGAAAATAATTGAAATAAAATTTGAATTGACACTTAATCTCTATTTGAATTTAATGTTTTACAGTATTAATTACTAAACGATTATTTAACTAAAATGTTGGATCTGTTCCAACACATGTGAAAATCATAATATTACGGCACAAATTATGCTCTATGCAAAAAGTGTATACAGGCGCATCATTTTCTCTTTTTTGAAACTGAAATACATTATAAGTTTTATTTTTTAATGACACTTAGGCGTGATGTTTGTGTTGTGTCAATAGTATAATATAAAAGAACCTAGGTTTTTAGAATTTCAGAGTAATTTAGACACTAGAAAATGCTAAATAACAAATTAACAGAAATAATTATGCAGCTTGCTAATTAGGAGTAACTTACAGCTAGACAAAAACAAAATATACAAGTAATTATAATATATAAAAACATAAACAAAAACAATGCGTAGACACTGAGAGCACTAGTACAATAATAGTAATAATTTCGTATGATTTTCTGAAGTTTTTTTTTTTAATTTTTCTCTTAAATAATTGATTGAAATGTTTTAAATGAGCCAAGAATGGTGTTGTATATTTTTATCCCATTGTACAATATACTTTTTTGACATACTGTTTTATTTATGCGTTTACATGAATAGAGCTGTGATTTATTTTGTCTAGTTTCATAAGGATGACACACTTTATTTAATTTACTATCTTGATGAATTATTTTGAGCAGTGAGTTTATATTTTATATCCAGCAGATTCAGAAATGAAAATGATTTTGACACTTTTTTCCCATACACAGATGCCGTGCCCATACATACTTTTTTGTTTAGTAGCTTTCTTAATGAATAAAATTTATAAGTTAATTTGTTTAGACTGTTAACCGTTTAAGATGCTTGTCGATATAGATACCTAGGTATTTATTCATGAACGCCATTGATTTTAATTGAACATAGTAAGGCAATCTGCATCCAACCAATTTTTAACATAATTTAGTACTTGCTATAAGTTTTCCCAATCCGCATCCCATATATTTCTTGTACAATTTAAGACCGTATCTATCATCTGCATAAGAAATGAGGCTACATCCTTTATAAAAAAACAGATCGTTTATAAAAATTAAAAACAGAGCAGGTTCAAGGATAGTACCTTGTAGAACGCCTTTTCACACTTAATTCACACCCAACACGTAGTTGTTGAGGTTTATCTGTCAAGAAGTTACAAAAAATTTATAAAACAATACCGCGAATACCTATATTTTTTAATTTACTAAGAAATTTTTGGTGTGAAACTCTATCAAATGCTTTCTAAGGATCAAGAAAAACCGCAATACTCAATTATTTTCAATGGTGAAACGAAAAGGTTAATGTAACTTTCTTTGAGGTATCACTGGGGTTTCGTTTTGAATCTTTGTTTCTAAATATTATCAATGTAACCCTATAAACCACATGGCCTTCGGGCATTCATCCCGAAAGACAATTAAGTTAACATGTTTTTCGATGGGTGAATTTGGGTCAATAGAAATTATAAATATCAATGTTTTAGAAATATACAAGGACTTACCAATTATGCATACAAATCTAAGCAAGCCTAGATGGTAAAATTTAATAGTAAGTTAACCAACTGGTAAACTGACACTGTTCGTTAGCTCAAGGGGGTTACCTACATTAGCCACCCATTCTACTAGGTTTGAACCATAAAGTATATGTAAACATCAACACAGTAAGTTAACCAACTGGCGAATTGGCGCTGTTCGTTAACTCCGTTGGTCATCACCTCTATAATCATCGAAATAAATGCCTAAGAAAATAGAATCCTGTGAATTTCTAAGATAGAATCAAGCTAAATAAAACATATCTTGATAGCAAATGAACGTTCCGCGAGAAGAACAGGCTACGCGTATTGTAACAGGGATCCATACCGGGCATTGCCGACTAAAAGGACACCTAAGTAAACTGAGAGTAGTAGAGGATAGTGAGTGCAGATTCTGTGAGGAGGAGGACGAAATCTCCATTCACATCCTAACTGAATGTGTAGCACTCCAGAATCCAAGGGCACTATATCTAGGAGGATATCAAATAGAAGAGGGAGATTTACCTAACTTGAAGCCACTTCAAATCCTACACTTCCTTGAGAAAATAGGATTAGAAGGGTCGTTATAGGTATTGAGACATTTCCTTGGTGCATTGGCGACAGAAGGGGGCACAGTAGATCTTTTAGGTCGCAGTGTGTTAACACCCCATTCCCAACATAACATAACATTGAGCGAGACTCAGGTGAGATCTCGGTAAAAAGTACTAATTGCACTGTACTCTTCAAATTATTGTGACATTTTAAGTATAAAAAATAAAAGGGTTTATATGATTTGTATGGTTTTATTTACCAATTTGCACCAAATTTTGCATTCAATCCTGATTTATTTTAATTACAACGTGGGTATATAAATTGTCATTTACTTAACTTGAAATTTACACATACCCTTTTATTTAAACATTTTTCGAATATCTTTGAGAAATTGTTTATTAGTGAAATTGGTCGATAATTTGTCATTTCGTATTTACTATTAGATTTATAAATTGGTGTAACACAGCTCTTTTTAAATTGATTTGGAATATTTGAGATTAGAAATATTAGACTGAATAAGAGTTCCTAATTCAATGACTTTCGCAGTTATTTTATCCATTCCCGGAGAGGCATTGTTTG